ATATAAAAAAGATATATATATATACTCGTATATATATATATATATATATATATATATATATATAACAGGTATTACCCTAACATAATTTACATTTATTTCTGTCGTGTCACTTTCTTATCTTATCTATACAATGCAGCATTATACTTAATAATTTTATGCTCTAATTAGATATATGCAAAATTTTTTCGCTTTTAATACCTCAATAGAGAGTCGATTTATGTAGGAAGACATTCTGGAAACTCTGCTCTGAATTATTACATGATAAAGAAAATATTTATTTTTATGAGTTTGGTCGAGCGAGATGACTTTAGATTAAGGTATAATATGGATTACGATATTGGTGAAGATAGTAACAATTTATTTGGAAAATAATTTCAAAAATTTAATTAAATAAGAACCGATTTACAATTTTATATGCTTTTCTAATTGATTTTGTTAGTAACTAACATTTATTGGGAAAATTTTAATCACCTGTCAAAAATTTTTGCCGATAAAAAAAATTCAAATTTGTTTACGATTACGTAACAAAAAAAAAGAAAACTAGATTTTTCCTCTAATAAATAGAGATTTGGATTTAAGGCAATTAATTATATAGTAATATTGAACAATGTAAAATTTAATTTTATTTGCTAATAAAATACAAAAAAAAGAGCTAATGAGAGTTTTGGCGCGATAGCCAGTGCGTATAGATAATTCAAAATTATGAGGTAATATCAATTTATTTAGTATGTATTCAGCTCCTTTTCGAGCCATTTTCAGTACAGTAAATACATTTCCTTATAGTTAAAATGGAGGAACAGCTCTCTAATAACATAATTTTATTTAATTTAATTTACTATAAATTTACTAAAGATATGAATAGACGGACATATCCTTGGGAGCATGCGTCATTGTTTGAAAGCAGAGCAGTTATTTAACAATATCTCGAGAATATTATGTACTTTTATTTGTTTGTTGCTTATTCATGCTTAATATTCTCTGGATTCTTCAAGAATCAGTAATCAAATTAAATGTTTGACGGTCGAAAGAAAATTACGAATCATGTTTTACCTACTCTTTATTCTATTTGCTTTGGATTTTAATAAAGAAGGATTTTTGTAAAATCTTTTATGATATAGAAATTGAAAGAAGAAATGAAATAAAGATAGTAAATATGTTAATTTAGAAATAAATTGAAAAATATATATAACTAAATTAAAAATATTTATTTTAATTCTGCAATTCACTTTTGAGTTTATCTATCAATATCTACTAAATTCTTATTCAATTAAAAAATTAATTAATTATTATTTTCAATATTATAAATTGCAAATAAATTAAAATTTTTAAATCTATAATTATAAACTTATTATATAATTACTAATATTATAATATTAGTATAATATTATAATATATTTGTACTATAATTATAATAATAGATTGATATTTTATTTTTAGCTAGATGGATATTTTAATGTAGATCTTTATTTCTATTTATGTTTTTATTTCTTTAAGTATTATTTGATAATAATTTAAAAAATACCCCCAAGCGCGTGTTTATATATTCATCGAGATAAACTTGATCAGTTTGTTCGTCAACTGAAATATTATTCTGATATTGTGCCGCGCTAGATTTCGCGCTTCGTCGACGTCAACGTCGTTGTCGAAACAAATAACAATAATTGGACCACTTGTTCTGTAACGGGTTATCATCATATACTCCTCCCTACTCTTGTCCTCGTACTGCGCAAGCACCCGCGTGCGCCACAGATGGTACGTTCGCCGATTGGTCGATGCGCTTGTGCGTGTCCAAGATCATTGGCAGACTTATTCGCGCTCACATTTTTTTTTGACTCGCATTTGAACTCCTCTATAAAATAGACTCACGAAAGTCACGCGAAGCACTTGTCGTGAGCGCGCGATATATGTATATGTGGATTGATCGATTAGTTGTTAATTTGTTTCTTTATTTTTATCAATTGTCATTTTTCGATTGTAAGTGATCCTTACTCTAGTTTGTTATTTGATTGAAAATGCCGTTTGCGGAAACCGTCAATGGTCACGACAACTTCCCGGCTGTCAAACGGCTGACTAACGATGTACTGCAAACAAACGTAAAGGATGCACAACATACGTAAGTTACATTCAAATTATTTCTTATGAAATTTTTAATACATATCTTAGACATTAAAATTCACAAGATATTTTAAAAGATATTTTAAAAACAGCCAGAGATGTTTTGTAGAAACTTTATATCAAAAGTCTTTAATGTACATACGTATATATGTATATTCTAGTATCTTTTCAATTTGGATAACATTTAATCTTGAATATCTTTGTAACTAATTTGCAAATTAAAAGCTTATTGAGTTTCTTTGAAATTAACTAGATAATAAGTAAATTCCTTTTTAAATTTTTTACATTTACTTTAATGCTGAGCATTTCAGCATGAAATAGTAAAAGAATTTGTAAGCTAAAATGTATAAACGATATTTACTATTGCTGGCTACCAAATCAATATTGCAAATTAGTGAGTCAATTCTACTTCTCAGCGCAAATCGAATGAACGAAGTATTCCGGGCGCGCTCGCGTGCTCACTATAATTCGATGTAATTTCGCTCTGAAACTGGTACAAAACGACGCGGTTACTACCTGCTAAACTACCGACAAGCTCAAATAGTAGCAGATTTAAGTTAAATGCATAGGCTTCAGGGGTATTACAAATCATCGGAATACACGTATGCGAAACGCGCGTAAATATACATGGTGCTCAGGAAAAAGTTGTAAGCCATTTCATGGTTTTTATCTATAGATTAAACAATGTTATAGAAAAAACATAAAATGTTGTTCGAGAAACAAAAAGATGCAAATATAGAAGTACTGAAAATTATGTAAAAGTTTTACACATAATATGCATACTATAACAATCAACACTCGAATGTTTTAATTTATAATAAGATATGTAAATATTCTTTACTTATTCTAAGGTCTAATAAAAGATTTTTAAAGATTGATGTTTAATGCTGATTAAAAAACTGGATAAAATTAAAAAATAAAAAACAGGATGTATAAGTATTAGTATTTAAATCAAAAAGTTTTTCAATCTATTATATAAGATTTATTTTTCATTGTATTTGCACGTATACCCTTGTTCAAGGAGAAAATTAGATACGGATAATTAATTCATTTACCTTGAACAACTATTATAGATATTGATCGCGAATGACACATTATAGTTCGATTATTCTTTTTTCTGTTGATACATTAACAGTTATTTGCAGTGAGTCAGGTATCGGAAAAATTTCCTCTGCAAACCACACAATTTTTGCATTTTTAATAATATTGTTCCATGTAGTATAGATACGTTTGCACACACACACACATAGAGTGGAATTAAAGAGACAAATTCTAAGTGAGTCATACTATACATGCAACGAATAATAGTAAATGTGATAATAATGTTATAAATAAAAGATTAACAACAAAAAGAAGCAGTAAAAAAGAATAAAATAGAGTACAGTTTTTGCCTTATAATGTTTAAGGATAGACACAAAGAAGAAGCTGAAGAACGTTCTTTAACTTTTAAAAATCGAATATCTTTTTTTATAATAAAACAACACATTTTTACAAGCATAAATAATTTAATGTGTACTTGGTAGGTATAGTTATATTAAATATATTTTTTTTATGTGCTCTTTTCTCTTTTGATATTTTAGTTACATCGTGTATGCTAAATTCACGCAAAATCCATCTATCGTGTACGCGCGTACCCAAATGCACATGCAAAATTTCAATGAATTCAAGTGAACGAGAGCGCACATATAATAACAACTCGAATATAATAATTTAAACTTGCGGCCATTTGACTATTTTAATACGTTTTTACATTCGTAATTTCAAAATACGATATATTACGAAAATTTTGGGGATTTAAGGTAAAAAATCAAGTCTTAAAGCGTTCAACTATTCAAATGTAAAAAAAAAATGTAAAAATTTTAAAGAATTTAACAATTTTATGCGAGCTTAATTTAACAATTCATAAATCAAGAGATATTCAAAAGATTCAAATCTCTCTTTGAGAAAAACTGTGAAACTGTGTATAAAGTAATTTGAAATAAGAATGGCAAAGCACGATATAGCTTGCACGTATATTTTTCTATTAATATTTAATATTTTATTATAATTACTGCAGTAGAAGGCAATAACCTGAGTAGAAATTGAATCATGGTGCGATTAAGGCCCCTAGCATTATCTTTAATCTTAATATATCAGGAGTGTAACGCAATATTCCGATAGTAACCTGATAAGGCCAAAAGATCACGTTCTTATCACAGAATCTATTCGGGCCCCTATTCAGGTCCTATCAGGAATTTTGGTTATATCTGACATTTCTTGTCAGGCGCGTCTAGTCATTTCCTGTTCAGGCGCCAATAAGAATCATATAGGAAAAATTCTTATCAGGTATACCTATTGTTTGTTCAGGTCCTGAGGTTGAAATATGCGATTAAGATATGCGCTGTGCGTCATTTTTTCTTAGTCCATATATTCATCTACCTATATATTTTCACACACACACGCACACATAACACACAACATGTTTTCCAAATATATTACAATTATATTAAAATTATATTAATTTCAATTTTAATTTTAATGTTTTAACTAATAAAACAGTAGGTTAAAATTTTCTATTTAGTTACACAGGATTTGTAGTAAACATTTCAATTTTTGCATAAGCTTCCTAAAGTTATTTTAAATTAATTAAACTTGAAAATCTTTATTTACGGCACTTATTATTACATTACGTTATATACGATTAAATGCATATTTGCATCGAAATAAATAAAATTCGTCAGCTTAGGGTCATAATTACGCATGTTTGTGTATACTGTTACATTTACTCTATTAATTCATAGATTACAACTGATTTGATTATTTCATAGATTAAATATTATTGATTCTTATTGCACGAGAGAACTTGTTTCTGAATTTGTTAAGCTCGTTATTTTATTTAGAATTGTATCCAGAAAAAAATCAGGTCTTTCTGTTCGATACTTCTTTTTAAGGAATAATTAATGTATAATATAAATGGATAAGTATAAATGAATTCAAATGTATATAAATGAATATAAATTTTATTTTAATTTAAAATATTTGTTATAATCTATGCAGTATTTATATAACAAGTTGAGAAACAAGTTTAATTTAACCTTGATGTGAGATCAGGATCAATATCAATTGATCTATGAAAATTAATAAAGTGAATGGAACAGTATTCATGAACATGTATGCATAATTAGTGTGCCCTGAGCACACTAATTTTATTTAATGTGTGTTTAATCGTTTATAGCTTTGTGTCAAAATTATATTTACATATAAAGATTTTCAAGTCTAATTAATTTCCGAGATACGCATTTAAAATAATTGATTTTGGCAGGGTTGGGTAAGTTAACTTCTTTTTTAAACTAAGTTAAGTTACAGTGAAACAACTTTGAAAATTTGAAAATTTGACATAGTTAAGATACAAATTAATTTATAATGAAATTAATTAAATTAAAAGTTAATAAAAAAATTAATTAAGTTAATAAAAAAAGTAATTAAAAAGTTGAAAGTTAAATTTATTTTTTTATACTTTTTTATATTTTACAATTCCACGGTTTCAGTCTTACAAATAACGGAAATGACAAATATATATGTACTTTATTTGGGAAATATTCTATATTTTATTTATATGTTTTGTTCATATATATTGTTTACAGACTGTTATATATACTGTTTAAATATTTTATTCACTTATATTTATTAAATGTAAGTAATAAAGCCATTTCGAAATTTTTGTCGGACATCTTTTCTCGCAAGTTATCGAAAATGAGTCCTCCTGCACTGAACAGCCGGTCAACGTAAGTCCACATAAGCCGAAGATGGTATTGTGTTATGTTTTATATATATAATAAATTTCAACCTATCAAAAACTAGATACATTAAAATATACAGTTTCTGACAGATTAAAATCTAGGAGTCGATTGTAAGAGTCTAAATTGGAACTAAGATAAGTTAAAATTAATTAACTTTTTAACTTAACTTTTATCTTTTTAACTTAGTACTACTTAACCCTTTTTGGATTTTGGAAAACTTATTTGAAAATTGACAATAAAATATTTATTACAAATCTTGTACAACTCAATAAGAAATTTTGACGATTTCATTAATAATATTGTATATTTGCATTATTACAACTTTAACATGTGTGTTGTGTATGTGTGTGTGTGTGTGCGAGCGCGCGCGCGCGCGTGTGTGTGTGTGTGAACTAAGAAGATATAATAACGCGCGTTATCTACACTATAATTATGATAAAATATTAGACGAAAAACCCCTATTATGAGATACCGAGTTTATTTTGGGCAAATGCTAGAAATCTATGGTCAGAATTTAAAATAGTAGATCATTTTGAAGGGAATTTAATGTTTTAAGATAATGTTATGTAAAATTTAATTCAAACTTTATTTTTTTTATAAATTAAAAAATGTAAAAAGTGAGCAAATCGCAAAGTCAAAAAATTGTACTCCTAATATAAGATGTTCCGAGAAATCGATAATAAAACGCAAAGTACATCAGTATTGCAATTAAAACATTTTATTTAATGTTTCTAAAATACAATTAAACAATCAGTACAAAATGAGTATGCGATGCATTGTACCTAGCTAATTCGTCTTTAGGTAGTTGGAAACAATCATTACAGAAACAGGCACTCGATATTTATTTCGATTGTCCTTTTTATTATTGTACAATAGCTTTTATACTTTAGCAACCATTTTCACTATGACATAAAAGCATAGGTTATTTCATATTAGAAGTAGCCTGGATATCTCATATTACGATTTCCACGTCTTACGATTTTACGATCATCAAACTTCTGTAATTAAGCAACATATCACGTATTTTTCTATTAGTATGGTCTTATTCTATCACCACATGAAGAATTTATTGCCAAATATTTACTTATTAAATAATAAACAAGAAGATTTAAAAGCTTATCTCAATAAAATTTGAAGACATTCAAATTCTAAATTTTTTTTTGTAACGACTACAGGCATAATCTAATAATAAATTTTCTACTAAATAATTTTCAATTCAAGAACAATAAATTCATGGAACCAATAGATAACGTTTATTAGTTTAGAGGAAATGCCGTTATCTCATATTAGGCGCGTATCTCATAATAGAGGGCATTCCTCTATATAAACTCGTTGTATGAAGTGTAATCGTGCTATATTCAACTTTTAAAACTACTGTATGAATTATCCATGATGGTGATTGGTCTCCATAGTTGTCATTATCGTAAAGCCTAGAAACGCAATTACATGCAATTATGATGGGACGTTTAATACAGCTGCGTGATCGTGTAAGCTAAAGCAACGAGTACGAGGAGTGCTTAATCAGTACCAATCTATTGAATAGTACACTTTAATATGTCTCTGTAATATCAGTGCAGAGAGAAGGCGACTGGCCATGTTCGATCGCGGGAGAGTTACTTCGCAATTCTATTATCTCCCAGCTTGTCTATACTGATTGATTTATAATAAGAGCAAAGATCAAAAGTTGAATAAGACTGAATATTAGAAAGTTAACGAAATTACGATTGTATGTATACATTTCATTTATAATTTTGTCGATTGTATAGAAATAATAACAAAGATGGAATAATTCAAAATCGAGCGAATATCTATGTTAAACATTTTTGTGTTCATATTTATTGCAGAGTTATTATTTTTTACAACTTGGAAAATTTGAAGTTTTGAAAGAATTTGAATTTTCGAAATTAACTCCTACTTTCAAAGTTTAAAGTGCCTTTGAAGCTTCGAAACGTGGACAAATATATTTAAATTTTTTGAATGCAATATATATTCCTAAATATATTTGTATATTTTTTATGAAAATATATTTGTTACTGTTAGCTATATTAAATTATAATAATAATTGTATAGTTTTGATTCTTCGAAGCTTGTAATATTGAAATTAAATAAGATTGAAGTGTCGAAATTTTTAAGTTTCAAAGGTTTGAAACTTCGAAACTTACAATTAGATCGAAAATTTTAATGTCAATGCTTTCAAATTCAAATTGAAGCTTTTAAAGCAAATCATTAAACCTAATATTTATTATATTAAATATATTATTGTATCTTTCAGGTACACCTTCGAAATATTACAGGAATCAGCACAATATTTATTGAATCGCATCAAGATTAGACCGAAAATAGGAATTATATGCGGTTCGGGAATGGGTTAGTAGTTAATAGTATTACATGTGTACATTTTTTTTTGTATTTTACTTATATGTATGTATACACGATTCGTTTATAATTGTATATTGTTAAATAATATTTATTTATTATTGACATAAGTCAATTAATTAATCATTGCAAAATCAATTATTGCATAACGTCAATATGTAACAAGATTTTTTGTGGATTCAAGTATTTGAAAATTTATGAATCTTAGATATTTATTTTAAATTTAATTGACTCGCCCACGCTTGTCTTGTATTATAATAGTAACGATATGAGATATAATAAAATATATAATTTTGGTAAGACTTTGATTAAAACTTGACATTATTTAAGAATTTTTATAAAAATCACAAGAATATAATGCAATATTCTAAATTTATATATAATTTTTTTGATAATATGCTTATACGAAGCTAATTTATTCAGGGTTTGTGCTTATAGATTGTAGTTAAAAAGATAAATTTTTTGTGATATAAAATCATGATAAACGATTTTGAAATGTAGTGTCTTTGACATTTGTGCATGTTATTATTTGCACAATATCTTTTGAATACTACTACAAAATTAACAATATCTGCCTAATTATGATTCCACGCTTATGCTTAATATACGAGTATATGTATTGTATACTTCTACTATTACGTCTTAATTTCACGATAAAATATTTCAAATATCGCTTAGCATTAAATTGCATATGCCATCTGACACGCTAAAATCACAGCTGATTTTGATCCTTACATTTGTGACCTAATAACTTTTAATTATTAAGAATGCAAATCGCAATCAAAGTATGAATAGCCATATTTGATTATGCAAACTGTTGCTCGCGTGCGTCATAATATAAAGTTATTATAAAGAGTTTGAAATTTTTTACAAACAAATTAATTTACTTTTTTTTCAAGAATAATTATGGTTTCAAAAAAAAAGGGAATAATTCACAAGATAGGTATATTAGAAGATCTTGATAGATTTTTTGAATATCAGAGTAACACAATATTACTTATCGCTTGTTCTGTTCTTTGAGTAATTTAAAAAGAACAGAAATAATTTTTCTCAAATTTTTCTGATAACGTCTAATAATAATTCTTCTATACAATAAGGTTCTCGAAAACATGTAATTGAAGACAAAATTATAATAAGATGAGATTAACAACGTTTATGTGAGTGTGTGTATGTTGCTTCAAACAATGCTAAATGGCTTTGCGGGAATTCCGGGTGACGGTTTATCCTATCATAGCTTTGTTTATTCCTAAACAGGATCATATGAGCAAAACGAGTTGTGTCCAGGTTCGATCGCGGAATCCCTCGTGGACAAGCAATGCTTCCCCTATGAAGAAATCCCACATTTTCCGATATCTACGGTAAAAGGACATACTGGTCAGATGGTCTTTGGTTATCTTCAAGGTGTACCAGTCATGTGCATGCAAGGCAGATTTCATTATTACGAAGGTTATCCACTTTGGAAGGTATAATTGGCTTCAGTAATTGCAATACACGGTCCGGTCTCGGGAGTCTAATCGTAGTGATTGACTTGACACCCGAGATACTACTACCGTGTCTTCTGATTTTATTCTAGCTAAAACAAATGTAAAACATATTTATTGAGATGTATGATGATAAAGGTAGTTATTTCTAGTGTGCCATGCCAGTAAGAGTGATGAAGCTGGTGGGTGTGACACATTTAATTGCTACGAACGCGGCCGGCGGTCTAAATCCCACCTACAAAGTAGGTGATATTATGATAGTAAAGGATCATGTGAATATGATGGGTTTTGCCGGCAACAATCCGCTTCAAGGACCAAATGATGATAGGTGGGATTTGTACTCTATGCGAATTTCTTTGCTAATATACGTATACGATATACAATATTATATTTAAGTTAATATAATATTTTACCTACAATGAATAGGGAAAATGTATTACTTCTTCTTTTTTGAGAAAGAAAAATAAATAAAATAAACATCTGAAATATTTATTTGGTGTATAAAAATCAAGCATTTTAATTTATTCAATTATTATTTATTATTTATTATTTCAAGTCTTTTGTTTTTAGTACATTTGTTTCTTCATTTCTCAGGTTTGGGCCTCGATTTCCACCTATGAATAAAGCTTATAACGCCACGCTGATGGAGATCGGTAGACAAGTAGCTGAAGAGATGGGTATTGGCGATATTGTACATAAGGGGGTTTACACGTGTTTGGGTGGACCTAATTTCGAGACAGTGGCAGAGTTGAAGATGTTACGAATGATCGGTGTCGACGCGGTTGGTACGTCATTTAATATTTTTTAATTAATCGAGCCAACCGTATCAAACGTACATTATTTGCTTGTAATGTTTATCCCACACATCACTGATATTTTTAATCTTTTTATTCCCATATTATTTAACACAGCAAAAATATTTGTTTGTTATTTTGTACATATTAAATGACAAGCAATTTATAAAAATGTTTTGACTTTTTGAAAATGTTTAAGGACTTTTTTATGTTTATTTTTATTACAACTATGTGTAACAATTTGTGTCTCAATGTATTATAAATATTAAAAGCTGTTTTTTTCTTTTTGGTAAATCTGTCTAGAATATTTCCAGGAAGTTATAGTTTTAACAAATTTCTATTTATAACCTTTATTATTATCGGACTGTAATAGCAACAGCTAAAAGATCTTTTTACCGAGAAGTGTTAAAATCAGGGTTGGCAGTAACGCATTACTTGTAATGCCGTAACTTTGTTGAGCATTGCTATAATAACGACTTGATAATGACATTGTGAATTTTTTATGACGGTAATGTCGGAGTTAGAAAAATCAATCGTTACTTGTGTGGGTTGAAAAAGTAATTTGTTATTGAAAAAATAACTCCTTTTTTCATTAATTAATTTGTAACGCGTTACTTTTTTATTTGCGTTACTTGTAATGAGTAACGTTATTTGTTACTTTTAACTTAA